TACTTTGTTTAAGGAGCAAGAAGAAAACATGTCCTACATGTTGACCGGAGACCTTTTATTTTTCAAATATTTTCCAGCCTCCATTGGTTGATCTGTGGCTGTAGAATCCATGGATCCGGGGGCTAATGGATATGCATTTTTTAGGCTTAACTCCTCGCCTCATTGATGTCTTTCTCCTTGCTTTCCTTGCCTTTGTACCTTCCATTTTTTCATTTGTTAGCTTGCTGTATTTTATGGAATACTTCTGGGGAGCTTCTAAATTAAATATTAAGTAAAACTAAAATAAACATAAAGGGATTAGTAGAAGAAGATTAAAGGTAAATGCTTTTGGTCACAGATGTGGACTAGGGACTGTTGAGCACCCTGGAGTAAGTTTCTTGTTGTAAGCAGGGAGGATTCAACAGTGGTCCAGGTTGACAGGGACACATCTGTGAGGGGGTTCAGGACAGTGGCAACTGTTATGCTGACTCAGCTGGATGGAGTGGGCCAGGCAGGCTTGTCTGGAAGTCCTGGTGGGGAGCCCTAAAGGAAAACTTGTTCATGTTAGCAGCCCTTTTTGCTGCCAGGGGGCATGAGAGAAAGCATTAACTTTATTTATTTATTTAGAGAGATCTTTTGTCTTCCTGTTCACTCCACAATGCCCACAATGGCAAGGACTGGGCTGAGACCAAAACCAGGAGCTGGGAACCCAGTATGGGTGGCAAGGAACCCAAGTCCTTGAGCCATCACCAGCTACCTCCCAGGGTGCATTAGCAGGAAGCTGGAGTGGGGAGCAGAGCCAGGGCCTGATTCTAAGCATTTGCAGATGGGATGCAGGCATCCCAAGCAGTGTCTCAGTCAGGCCAAAGGCTCACTCAGTGTTTAACATTTAGGGAATTTCTGGAATGCGGTTTTCATTGTGAGGTGATTGAGAAGAGTGATGTCACCTTGGTCTCTATTGAAAATGTGAGCGGAATGAAAGTCTTGGGAAAATCTCTCTCTCTCTCTCTTTTTTTTTTTTTTGACAGGCAGAGTTAGACAGTGAGAGAGAGAGACAGAGAGAAAGGTCTTCTTCCATTGGTTCACCCCCCAAATGGCCGCTATGCCGGTGCACCGCGCTGATCCGAAGCCAGGAGCCAGGTGCTTCTCCTGGTCTCCCATGCGGGTGCAGGGCCCAAGCACTTGGGCCATCCTCCACTGCACTCCCTGGCCACAGCAGAGAGCTGGCCTGGAAGAGGGGCAACCGGGACAGAATCCGGTGCCCCGACCGGGACTAGAACCCGGTGTGCCGGCGCCGCAGGCGGAGGTTTAGCCAAATGAGTTGCAGCGTTGGCCGTGGGGAAAATATCTCTCAAGTGTGGTCATTTTGAAATGCTTCATAAAAACTTGATGTAGAAAACCAAGTCTTCAGTATAAGTCTTGAAATATTTCCAAGAGGGGAGTGACTCTTCCTGTGCTTCTATTAAGTGCCAGCCCTTTCAAATCAGGGAGAAAACCAAGATCTTGGAGAGGAAGTTGCTTTTCGATTTATGCAGTTGGGGAAAGTGTTTGTGGGGGTCTTTTTAAAATGACTTCTCTTTGGTATAATTTGGTTCTTTCAGAGAATTTACCTACTTTTAGTTTTGAGTTTTGAGTTACCTACTTTTGAGTTTTGAGAAATGCCCAATTTTTTTTTTTAAATTTATTTATTTGAGGTCAGAGTTACACAAAAAGAGGAGAGGAGAGGGAGGGAGGGAGGGAGAGAGAGAGAGAGAGGTCTTCTATCCTATGATTCACTCCCCGAATGGACACAATGGCCGGAGCTGCACCGATTCAAAGCCAGGAGCCAGGAGCTTCTTCCAGGTCTTCCACGTGAGTGCAGGGGCCCAAGGACTTGGGTCATCTTCTACTGCTTTCCCAGGCCATAGAAGAGAGCTGGACAGGAAGAGGAGCTGCCAGGACTCGAACGGTGCCCGTATGGGATGCTGGCACTGCAGGCTGCTGCTTTGCCCACTGTGCCACAGTGCCAGCCCCAGAAATGCTCAATTCTTTAGCGTGCGTGTTGTTCTCACTTTCTTTCCTTTGCTGGGTAGAAGGCATCCAGTACTGTGTGCTGAATGTTCTCCACTATGGCTTCCCACTTTTTTTTTCCTTTTCATTTTAAAGTTGTTAATGGCAGAGCTATGTTGAAGGTGACATCAAGAAATTCGTAAAAAAATGAAATTAAGATGTTATTTTGGTGAAAAAGTTTCAAATTCATGCAGCTTTTTCATAAGATGCATTTTACATGAACTTTTTGAAGATCTGTCACATATATATGTAGTGTCATAATTGGAACATGTTATGTATCATGCGTCTTAAATTTTTTCAAAAAGAAAGAGGAAAATGTACCCTGGCATAACTTTCTGTACCGCCTTTGTTTTTTTTTTTTTTTTTTTTGACAGACAGAGTGGACAGTGAGAGAGAGAGACAGGACAGAGAGAAAGGTCTTCCTTTGCCATTGGTTCACCCTCCAATGGCTGCCGCGGCCGGCACACCGTGCTGATCTGAAGGCAGGAGCCAGGTTCTCCCATGCGGGTGCAGGGCCCAAGCACTTGGGCCATCCTCCACTGCACTCCTGGGCCACAGCAGAGAGCTGGCCTGGAAGAGGGGCAACCGGGACAGAATCCGGTGCCCCGACCGGGACTAGAACCCAGTGTGCCGGCACCGCAAGGCGGAGGATTAGCCTACTGAGCCATGGCGCCGGCCTTCTGTACCGCCTTTGTAATGCCAGCTGTTTTCTGTCCATTTGCTCAGCCGTCCATCCATCCATCAGTCTATCTCTCCAATTGTCCACCCATCCATCCTTTAAGTGCCTACCCTGTGTGAAGTATTGAGAAAAAAAACCTACTGTGATGCATTTTAAGAATTATAGGCCGGCGCCGCGGCTCAATAGGCTAATCTTCCGCCTGCAGTGCCGGCACCCCGGGTTCTAGTCCCGGTTGGGGCGCCAGTTCTGTCCCGGTCTCTCCTCTTCCTGTCCTGGTCGCTCCTCTTCCAGTCCAGCTCTCTGCTGTGGTCCGTGAAGACAGTGTAGGATGGCCCAAGTGCTTGGGCCCTGCACCCCATGGGAGACCAGGAGAAGCACCTGGCTCCTGCCTTCAGATCAGCATGGTGCGCCGGCCGCAGCGTGTAGGCCACAGTGGCCATTGGGGGGTGAACCAACGGAAGGAAGACCTTTCTCTCTGTCTCTCTCTCTCACTGTCCACTCTGCCTGTCCAAAAAAAAAAAAGAATTATAAAACAGAATTATCTTCAAAAAGACTGTGATCTAAGAAAAGTGAATAGACACAGGTACTTTAATACCTGTTGTACAAAGTAGAATTCAGGAAGCTCCATCATGGAAGTTGTAATAGCTCTGTGCTTGTCTTCCCAGGGCCTTTGTTGATGATTTCACATCACAGAAATCCCAGTCCAGCTGCGGGTAGTGACATCTAGCCTCCGAGATAGCTGGATCCAAACTCCCAAGTGGCGTTTTCAGCATTCCGTTTAGATCTCTTTGGCTCTCTTTTCTTTTTATGTGCTGTTTTCATTTGTGCGTAGTTTCTTTCCTTCGTAGAAGCTCTAGGCCTGTGTCATCCCTCAGCCATAATCCCAGAGAAAGAGAGAGACACACTCTCGCTCTCTCTCTCTCACGGCCAGCATTCATTAGTTTAATTGTAGGGAAGGTTTTCATTGGTCTAATTGTGTGACATGCATGTCTCTAAGCCAATCATCATGACCAAGATGGAGTTCTCTCTGTGACCAGTTATTCATCCACTTCCATGTTCGAGGGTTGGGGAGGGGGTGGCAGAGAAGTTTTTTGTTTTTCTGAAGGTTTTTATTTCATGAATACAAATTTTCATATGTACAGCTTTTAGGGATATAGTGTTTCTTTCCCCATTCCCTCCCACCCACCCGCACTCCCATCCCACCTCCTACTCTCTCTCCCATTCCATTTTCCATTAAGATTCATTTTTAATTGACTATATACAGAAGACCAAATCTGTACTAAGTAGAGATTTCAACTATTTGCACCCACACAGAAACACAAAGCATAAAGCATTGTTTGAAGACAAGTTTTACCATTGATTCTCAAGTACACCTCATTAAGGACAGAGGTCCAACATGGGGAGTAAGTGCACAGTGACTCCTGTTGTTGATTTAACAATTGACACTCTTATTTATGATGTCAATGATCACCTGAGGCTCTTGTCATGAGCTGCCAAGGCTATGGAAGCCTTTTGAGTCCACAAACTCTGTAGGTTTTTCAGGCAGGGCCACATGCAAAGTGGAAGTTCTGTCTTCCCTTCAGAGAAAGGTACCTCCTTCTTTGATGGCCCGTTCTTTCCACTGGGGTCTCACTCTTAGAGATCTTTCACGCAGAACTGTTTTGCCACCATGTCTTGGCTTTCCATGCCTGAAATGCAAAGAAGTTTATACAGACAATGAACCAAGGCCATGTGAAAAAAAAACTTTGGATTCTTGCTGGCAGGGGGATGCTGGGCCAAGGAGGGGGGGGGGGTAGAAGAAAGGGAGAGGTGGTGGTGGGGGGCATGCACTGCAGGGTTTTAGGAAGCAAGAGAAGGGAGCGCCTGCTTCTCAGGGGATGTCAGGGAAGATGGGGCTCATCTAACCCAGTGATGCGATGATGACACCAGCGAATCTGTGAGGATGAAAGGCCTTTGAGGCGTAACAGGTGCATTTCAGAGATGTTTTCACCTCCGTGCATTGGCAATACCCTGCAAATGGAAAACTGAAATTCATAACTGATACAAGATGAGGGGAAAAAATGAGACTCGGCGAACTGATCACTGACCATGAAACCTGGTCAGTCATGGGTGTTTCTCTGTCAGACTCAGTGTTGCTCCTCTTGTTGTCTTTGGGAAAACAAAATGACAGGGCTAGGGTGGGTGTGGAGGGCTCGCTTTGGATGCCTTGGTGAGGCTGAAGGGACGTTATCCATTATGTCATGCTCTTATCTGCATCCCACATCAACAGTATTCGCTCTCTGCTTTGTTGCAGCTTTATTGCAAACCAGAAAAAGTTGGAAATCATCAATGAAGATGATATTGAGGCTTACGTGGGACTGAGAAATCTGTGAGTACTCGGGCCTTGTATTTATTGTCTCAGGTTTCTCCTCTGCTGTGCCGTGGAAAGGTGGGCACTCGGGGAGAGTCCTAACAAACATGTAATTCTGTGTTTTCTTAGGACAATTGTGGATTCCGGCTTAAAATTTGTGGCTTACAAGGCATTTCTGAAAAACAGCAACCTGCAGCATATGTAAGTAGACGTTGATTCTTTCACTTCCCAGGACCCAATTTTATTCAGTATTTTCCTCCTTTGTTTATTTTCCTACTCTAAGCCTTCCTTTTAGAAGTTAGTATAGCTGTGATAATAGCTTAGGAACATTAGCTTTGATTTTGTTTGATTTCTGAATAGCTTCGGAGGAGTACTTAGAACAACTTGTTTATTCCCTTTCATGAAGTTCTGGGCCATTTCCATCTTGGACCGAGCAATAGGCCAACAGCAAGGAGCCTGATGTGAAAACTATGGCCTTGTACTCAACCCTTGATTCTTTCCCTTGGAATCCTAACATGCTCCCTGGAAGACATCAAACTGGTGCAACTGAAAGAGCTGACTTGGCCTTGGCCTTTCCAGGGAACTAAAAGTTACTAATGCTCTCCCTCCCCCACGACAGGCCCTCCTTTGAGTCATCATATTCCCACAGCTGTCTGAAATGGATTGATAAAAGTGGAGAAAAATCAATCATGGGGAATGCTGAGGGTCAGACAAGTGTTAACACTAGGAAATGTTTTCCCCAAAGTCTTGGTGATGTTTTGTTAACTGAAATCAAATGGAAATTTGGAAAATGGCAGCTGTCTGGTTGTTTGCTGGTAAATGATCTATACCATGGCGTTCACCTTGGTAAGGTGTCACCTTCCTGAGCAGTTTCTTATTAAACAGAAGAGCACCCAGGTGAGCAATGTTTGCTTGGACTTCTCAGCTGAGACTGGTGTCCTCCATCTCCCATGTTTTCAGAGAGCTTCTGCTACAAGATCATTGCTTCATTCAATGGCTCTTTTTTGACACATCAAATCCTCTCTGAGGACAAACCTTACCTGTCTCATAGTCCAGAGATTGCCTTTAGGAGTCGCACCTGCATTGTTTCACTTGGTGGTTTTTCTGCTAATTGGTAGAGAAAATCTTTTTTTTTTTTTTTTTTTGTCCCTACTTTATAAGTAAAAGCAGACAGAGGGTGTTCTAGGAGTCGCCCAGGTCCAAGGATTGTAGGTGACAGAAGTATGCGACCAGGTCTAACTCATCTCCATGTTCTTAAAATAAGACTTCAGGAATAAAATTTGTGTCATCTGTGTAGCCAGAGAATCAGCCCTTCTTGTAACATCAGTCCTCTGCATTTTATTGGGGAGAACTTGTCCTCAACTGGTTTCCGCGTCAGTTAGAGGAAGACTCATCCTCTTAGAGCAGAGAGTCTGGACACTGTGTGATCTTTGATGACACGGACAATGTTACAATGTTAATTCCATACAGCCAGTATCATGACATGATGTTTTATAGGTGGCATGGATGATGTAGTCACTTTCAAAATAAAGTTGGAGGAATCAAGATATAAGACATTCTGTGAAAGTGTAATGAAGGCCCAAGGAACTTTCTGAACGCTTTTCACTTAAACACTTTTTGGCATCCTGTCTGCAGTCAGGCTGTAGTTTGCCCATACAGAGCTCGTGTCTGCGTAGGCCTTGATAGCATCAACAAGAGAAAAGCTGGGTAGAAGAAAAAAGCCAAGTAGTCTAAAGCAATCACTTGAATGTAATTAATGACCTCAGCAGTTAAGTTCTGGTATTTTCATTACAGCTAACCTCAGACCCAAATTACTCACAACCACATTCCACTGGCTGCTTCATCACATTGCTGCTCCTTGTGTTATGATTTGTACAGAGGACTGTGGGTAGTTAGAATTGATTGATATGCTTACATCTTGCATTTTCCTTGTATGCAACTTATGTGACTACCAAAGCTACCTTGTATATTTTTATGGTGATTTATGGTGGAATAATTTTAATGGCATTCCTATGTGTCATATACAACATATAGTATGCTAAATATCTGTTCATGTTTCTTTTTTTTTTTTTTAGATTCATTTTATTTATTTGAAAATGAGAGTGACAGAGAGAGAAAGAGATCTTCCATCTGCTGGTTCACCCCTTGAATCGCTACAATAGCTGGGTCTGGGCCAGGTCAAAGCCAGGAGTTATTCAAGAATTCCATTCAGGTTTCCCATATGGGTAGCAGGGGTCAAGCACTTGGGCCATCTTCTGCTGCTTTCAGAGCAGCCAGCAACCAGCCGGTTTGGCATGGTGGCATCACAGGTGGCAGCTCAACTGGCTCAGGCACGACGCTGTCCCCATGTCCCTTTTTCTCAAAGAGGTGTCACTTGGAAATAGTAGACTGAATAGTCATATGTACCTAGTTAATTTCCTTAAGAGACAAGCGTCGGGAAGCCAATCATTGGTCCAACTTCAAAAACGATTGCTATATGTAGCCATTGTCAGATGGCGAGAGAGGAATTAGGTACGTGTGACAGGTGGCTATGAAGAAGTTGCAAAATGGTGGTAGGCCCTTTAGCAGCCCCAGTACACAACTGCATAGAGCAGTTTGCTTTTGAGAGCCAGCCTCTGCTTATGACTGGGGGGAATGGGTGGGCTTGTTCTTCCCGTATTTTCCACATGTAAATTGCACTCCTTCCTCAAATCTCAACTCGGGAAGGGGGAGAAGGGGAACGGAGCTGAGAAAGAAATGCACATTAAAAGCTGCTTCTCTGTACCCCTGGGAATGCACCCACTCTCTCTCCTCTCTCTCCGAGTTTCCCCATCAGTATAAAAATGTGCGCAGCATCAGTCCGTTCGGCTTCCGGTGTCAGGGGAATTCCAGTTGGACTTCCTGTCCCACTGTCACCACTCCTGTCTGTCGCCTGCGCTTATTCCCATCCTGTGGTGACTGTCCAGAGCCCCCATGACTGCTGGCTGAGCGTCCTTGTTGGCGCCTTTCATCTCTGCTCAGCCCCTAGGAACCAAGGGACTGCAAGAAAAGCCAGTGTTTGTGTTTTCCAGAGGCTTCGCAGAGGTGCTAATTAGCTCCTTTGCAAAGTTCTGTAACGAAACAGTAAGGGGATTGTGGGTTTTGTTCCCCCCCTCCTCTCTTCCTCCTCTTTTGGCTTTTGGCCCCAATAATAAGTATGATTCATAAAACGCATCTTGTTCCTTGGCCGGTAACCTGGCTCTGTGCTGTGCTGTTGGCAGCTGAACATGGGCAGCAGCTGCCGGCTTGGTCCCTTGCAGTCGGCAGGGAGAGCCTGGGCACTCAGAGGCCTCCTGCTTGGGGTCCTCTCCTCTTTGTTCCTAGGGAGGAAGAATAGGGTTCTTTCTCATTCGGTCATTTGTTCTTTTTCTTTCTCTCTTTCTTCCTCTTTCTTTCTTTCTTTCTCTTCTTTCTTTCTTTCTTTTTTCTTTCTTTCTCTCTGTCTCTGTCTCTCTCTGTCTCTCTCTCTTTCTCTCTATCTCTCTTTCAGGATGAGGATTCCTGATAAAGGTGGAAAACTGTGTCTTAAAGACGGGGCCATATAAGACAAGGTTGACTTTATCGATGGGTTACACTCTAGTGACACCCATTCTTCATTCACATTCCAGAACATTCCAGAAGACAAGGTTTCTGTAGGCACATTTTACAACCTCTCAGTGGGTTGTTTTGTTGTGTGGGTGAGCACTTCCCACCCAGTAGGAAGAGAGAAGAAGAAGCAAGGGTGGAAGGAAGGATGGTCCCTGGTGTAGGTGGGAGTTGGGATGAGTGGAAATCTTAACATAGAATTGAACTGGGGAGTGGACACACACATCCTGCTGCTGTGGCTCATCCAGTAGCTTCTGGGTTTTCACCTCACTTTGCAGACAGTTACTCAGACACCAGAATACTTTAACCCATTGCTGCACTGGGCCCACACAGCAGAGCAGCCCCGGGGAAGGGGAAGGGGCCCAGGGTTGCCGTCACCCTCAGTCTCAAGGTGCTTGCTGAACCTCAGCCCAACCCTTGCTTTCCTGAGCAGGAAACGGGCACGGGAAGACTGTTGGCTTCCTCTGGTCTGTTGAGGTCTTGGCTCTTGTTGTGAAAGTTGGTGTTTGTTTTACATTCCTCTTGCTTATGAAACACGTTTCTAGAGGCCCAAGTGTTGGACTCACTGTAAATAAATCCAAGCAGTAAGCGCACTCACAGAATGAACCCACCGCCAAGGTTACAGCTTTGGATTTCCCACCACAAGACTCTTGGCATTGGTCATTGGAGATGCCCATCCTTTGAACACAACTAAATGTTTGGAACATGCCCAGACAGTCATGATTGCTTTCTTAATCATAGATATGTTATCTTTGTCGTTGTCTGATTGGTCCAGATCTCAAGATGGTATGTTGTTACACTAGTTCAAGATAAAATCCAACATATTCCTTAAGACCTGATGTTGTTGTTATCATCATGGAATTATCTAGTTCTCTAGGTCATATATAAACAATCTCAGCAGAATTGATCAATGCATAATTTTTTTCTCCTATAAAGTCATGTTAAATTCAGTTAATACAGTTTTGTATGCCACATAACTTCCAAACATTCATGATACTGCTTAATATTAGTTTCTTTTTCCCCTGGTGAGCTTATATTTTTAAATTGTGTTTGATTTTACATATCTGCCTCTGAGTTGTTCATACAGCTAGGATCTCTAGGAAGTATATACTTGACTCTTAATCGGCATATGACAAATAAACTTTTGGGTAGGAGAGAAATGAAAAATAGACAAAATGAGGGGCCCATGTTGTGGCACATTGTTCTCAACCACGCTTGCAATGCTGGCATCCCATGTTAGAATAGTGCTTCAAATCTCAGCTGTTCCACCTCTGATCCAACTTCTACTAACGCACCTGGGGAAGAAGAGGATGACCCAAGTACCTGGGCCCCTGCCTCCCATGTGGGAGACTGGGATGGAGTTCCTGGCTCCTAGCTTTGACCTGGCCCAACCCTGGCTGTTGTGACCATTTGAAGAGGGAACCAGTGAATGGAAGATCTCTTTCTCGGCTACTCTGTGTTTCAAATGAATAAAGACAATCTTAAAAAAAAATAGACAATATTGGATGCCCCCATTAGCAAGAATAGTCTGAAAGTTTGGGTAAAAATTGAGCTGTCGGACCAGATTGGGTCTAGGTGAGGCAAATTCAATGAACAAATAAATTGAAAGGAAAATCTCTGTGACTTTGCTCCTAAATGCAGCATTCTAAATTCACAGTGGGTGTTTTCTATTTCTTTCAGAAATTTTACCAGAAACAAACTGACGAGTTTGTCTAGGAAACATTTCCGTCACCTTGACTTATCCGAGCTGTAAGTAATGACTTTCTGTTGTACTTGGGAAACATTTTCAAAGATCATGATAATTTTCTTTCTTTCTTTTTTTTTTTTTAAGTGAGTGAAGTTGCAGGTCTACGTTTACATCAAAATTCTGAAAAATGATTCCTAGAGCTTTAGCCTCTTGTTCTTTTATTCCCTCGTGAAAAGGTGGTTTGATACATTGAAAAAAAAATAGAAATCTCAATAGTATGCTATCATTTATGAAGGGCTTTCATGTTTTTACACACAGCCTTTATTTTCTGCTAGAGGGAAAAAGAAGAAAAGAAGAAGGTTTTGTGTCCAAATAGCTGCATCCATCTTAGCATCTGTGTGGCTCCTGTTATGGGCAGGCCCTGAAGTCAAGCAGATCCATTCAAGGAGATAATAGCAGTGGGTAGAACTCCTCCACCCTGTCTGTCAGCGCCGGCGCCATGGGGGAGTGGCGAGCACTGGAGGAGAGCTGGCCCTCCCCGCCCACCCATCTCTGTGAGATGTTCTTCTGCGTCTGCCACTCCATTCAATATTTATCCGCGTGTCCCGATTTCCTCTGCTGTGACATGATAAGAACAACACTGAAATGTGTTGATGACTAACAGCCTGCATTGCCAGTGTGCTCAGTTCTTGGTGTTATCATCAAGAAGCCAATGTGAACTGATGTCTCTCCTCTGGGTGAGAGGCCCCAAGGATCCCGAAGGCAGACACTGTGTGTGGCACATGTGGGCCAGGATGGACTGGGGCTTTGAAGGTTGGGCAGCAGAGTCCTCTGATGAACGTCCATCCCCGTAGATAAGCAACTGTGCAGAATCGAAGCTGCCTCCAAGGAGGAGACAGCGGGAGTCAATAGTTAGTGACGGGGGTTACAGAGTCTTGGTGGTTGGTGATTACTTGGAATAAATTGAATATGGAAGTTGAAACTCTAGCATTTCCTCCTACAAAATTGTTTTAAATGGACCCATCATTGTACACACGTAGGGAGTCTAATGTGGTATTTTCATAGATGACTGCAATGTCTAGTGATTAAATCAGAGTACTTAAGTCATATGCATCATCCAAATATTCATCAATCCTTTGTGTTGGGAGTGTCCAAAATCCTTTCTCGCAGCTATATTGAAATACACGATACAATGTTGTTGACACCGGTCACCCTGCTGTGCCATAGGACACGGGACTGATTCTTTTTGTCTAACTGTATTTTTGCTCTCCATCACCAAACTCTATCCTCCTCCTCCTCTTCCTTGCCCTTCCCAGGGCCTGGGTAACCTCCGCTCTGTTCTCTACTGCCACAAGGTCAACTTATTTAGCTGCCACATATGACGGAGAACATGTGGTGCATGTGTGTTCACTGGTGTTTCTATCACAGGCATAGCTTTCACTCGGTGTGAAATAGAATAAGGTGCTCAAGATCGGATTCTGGGTATCACTGCGTAAAACTGTCTGGACCGATTTAAGATGAAATTGTTGCTTCCAGCTTCCTGTCTCGGAATCCAACCAACTTAGTGTACAGATCAAACTAATGCAACAGTAGGCCATGAGGACAGAAGGAGAGACGTTTCTGTAACTGAGATTCTGCTCTCTGGAGGGAGAGAGAGAAATCTAAACAAGCAAGTGTAATGTGCTGTAGTGGTCCTTGTAGGAGGGCTTTGCACAGAGATTGCTGGGGGAGAGGCCAGCTGCCCGCCATACAAACATGGCAATGGGTGCATCCCTTTGCTTCCTAATCCCTTCTGCTGATTGAATCACACCCTCATTTTAGAAAGACCCCATAGGTTTTCATGCACGCAGAACTCCAGGAAACATCTTGGATTAGTGGAGTTTAAGCTGATTGGGGGCGGGGTGATCTCTTCCACGTCGTATCTCATATCTCATAGCGTCAAATCCTATTTTGGTGTGGGCGGGATACTTGGAGACAATCAAGCAGACACAAATTAAACCAGTCTACCGTGACCACATTTCCCCCAAAGAAACTCTCGGGAAAGTCTCCAGGGATCTCCCTGAGAGTCTTAGAACCCGACCAGAAAACCACAGGAGTAAATGATGGTGCAAAGCCCCACAGGTCCTGCACTCAACAGAAATCTGAAGTATTGTGGTTCGTGCCAGGCAGAGTCTATGGAACGATTTTAAATGGGCTCATTTAAAGGCTCATTACCATAAATGGAATTCATCCTAAATAGGCCACTGAGTATTATAAATAAGCATTTAAAGATTTTTTTTCCTTGTGGTTTTTATTTTCCTCTTGACTACTTCCTCCTTCACCCATTGCAGGCAGCGTGACTGGTGTCTGGACAGCAGTGGTTTCTTCTGTGCGGTCCTCTAACCACTCACTCGTGTGTGTATGTGTGTGTGTGTGTGTGTGTGTGTGCGCGCGCGTGCATGCGACCATATGCCTGCGAGTGAAGGCGGTTCCAGGGTCTCTCACGGTCTCTCCACGTTTCTTGCATCAGTGAAACTCATTCTGGTTGCATAATGCAGAGAGCTGGGCGGGTCAGCCTCCGGACACTCAGCTTCACACTTCTAGTCTCGTTTTATTTATTTGTTCATTTATATGTCTGAATTGACACATAGCAGTTGTACACTTATTTATGGGGTACAACGCGATGTTTCAATAGATAGGCATACTTTGTGAAGTTCATGGCCAATGGAATTAGAACACAAGAGTACTTAGGGGACAACAGGATTTTGAAATCCATCCATGTGAGAGGTCTTTAAAAAGGTTGTGGGAAATGTGAAGTATGTCATGGAAGAGCTGCATGGATTTCAAAATTGTTTTGTCCCCAGATAAACTCACCTGTTCATTTCGGTTTTCATGAACGTTTGGAAGTACTCCCATATGTATGTGCTATGATTGAATCAGGGTAATTAGCATATGCAGCATATATTAGCATATGCATTCATCATTTCTCTGTGCCGAGAGCATTCTGTCATCTCTTTTCTAGCTGTTTTGAGAGTCTCGTGATGACTTAAGCTGAAATTGTTCTAAACTGAAGTTAGAGTTTATTATTGAGTCTGCATGTCAGACATATAAGCAGACTAGTTTTCCTGAAAACTCACTGTTGCTGCTCCCATGTAAGAGCTTCTTAACAGCAGTATGACAGCTGTGATAAATTTGGTATGGCACTTTATTTTCCTGTGTGCTATGGAACGTAAGTGTTACCTGAATATCTGGCTGCTTCCTTCTGGTGCTGCTTTCCTTGTGGTTCTGGAAGGTCTTACATCACTCTGCATTGGTTAATGTCCACAGCGGTGTCTGCACATAATAGGAGCTCAGTAAGTATTAGATGAACAAATGAGTCACGCATACCGCCATCCTGTGACATTGAGTGTGACTTGCAAAAGTTATGGGAATTCATAGTGTTGTAGTACTTCCTGAACACTAGTGCAGCTCACACAGCAGAAGGAGCCTGATGAGTTTTCACTTTTGTTCCATGTAGGATCCTGGTGGGCAATCCGTTTACATGTTCCTGTGACATTATGTGGATCAAGACTCTCCAAGAGACCAAGTCCAGCCCAGAAACTCAGGATTTGTACTGCCTAAATGAAAGCAGCAAGAATATTCCCCTCGCAAACCTGCAGATACCCAATTGTGGTAATTCGTTTTTAAATCAATGAGTTCTAGTTAATTGATTTAATTGCATTGGTGAGGTAGAGAGTGTGGGGGATTGCCACTACCCAGATTTGGCGTAGTGTGTGTTGATGTCTCCTGAGAAGCACGTAACATCTGTGTGCAGTGTGCAGAACTCAGCTTGGAGCAACTTTGCTGAGTGTTCTTTGCCAGTAGAGTAATGAGTCTGAATGATGACTTGAAAGTCCGTACAGAAAAAAATCATATTTCTTACACTTTGTTTGTTTTTCCTTCCTTTCTTCCATCCATCCACCCATCTATCATCCATCCATCCACCCATCTATCTATCTATTCACCCATCCATCTGGCCATCCATCCATCCATCCACTCATCCAGTCAGCCAGCAAGCCATCCACCTACCCACCCACCCATCTATCCATCCATGCATCCATCCATCCATCCATACATACATCTCCCATCCACCCATCCACCCATCCATCCATCCAACCATCCATCTGTCCACCCACCCATCCACCCACCCACCCATCCATCCATCCACCCATCCACCCATCCATCCATCCAACCATCCATCTGTCCACCCACCCATCCACCCACCCACCCATCCATCCATCCACCCAACCACCCATCCATCCATCCAACCATCCATCCGTCCACCCACCCACCCACCCATCCACCCATCCATCCATCCACCCATCCACCCATCCATCCATCCAACCATCCAACCATCCATCCGTCCACCCACCCATCCACCCACCCACCCACCCACCCATCCACCATCCATCCATCTACCCGTATACCCATCCACCCACCCATCCACCCATCCATCCATCTACACATATACCCATCCACCCACCCATCCATCCAAAAAACATCTGCTAAGATCATATAACTTCATGGGTCTCATATATGAGATGTTTTTAAAAAGGCCACAGGAATGTTTTTATGGCAAAAGTACACACAAATCTCAAACATTTTTGCTCAAAAATAAATTTACTTTTAATTCCATTTTTCCACGAATGTTTTGGCATGCCCTTGTACACTTGGTTGGTGCCTAGGCCATACAGTGGAAGGGGTCTCAGACTGGAAAAGGTGTGCTGGCAGCTCAAGTAAATGCAGTCCAATCCAGCACGTTCCTAGACTGGTTTTACCACCTGACATATTTGTCTCCCACCCCTTATCTGCCCTGTGACGTGCTTTCCCTCAGGTCTGTGTTTGAGATCTGCTACCTTACTTCTGTCCCCACTCCCATGGTCTGTGTTTTCCTCTGTGGGCTTTAAACATGCATGATCCGGCAAAATCACAGCTCCATGTGAGTGCCAGTGAGTTTACCAGGAAGGCAAAGGAAAGCGGTGTGGCTAGGGTCTTCCTCTCTGTCCTACGCTATGATTCCCACAGGTGTGTTATTGCTCTGTGGACACTGTAAATCAAGTAGTCCATCAGTTAGTAAGTCCACACAGCTACTGCGGCTAAGCATCAGACTTCATGGCTGATGGCACAGCAGGGAGCCACGGAACCCCTCGTTGTTTACCATGAGTAACGTGTTTATTAACCATAAGCCTTGGGCTCTTTGTTTGAGAAGATCCTGTTGTTTGAGGCTTGGTTTATTTTATTTTATTTTTTTTATTTGACAGAGTTAGACAGTGAGAGAGAGAGAAAGACAGAGAGAAAGGTCTTCCTTCCGTTGGTTCACCCCCCAAAATGGTCACTACAGTCGGAGCTGTGCCAATCCAAAGCCACGAGCCAGGTGCTTCCTCCTGGTCTCCCATGCGGGCGCAGGGCCCAAGCACTTGGGTCATCATCTACTGCTTTCCCAGGCCGCAGCAGAGAGTTGGACTGGAAGAGGAGCAGCCGGGACTAGAAACCGGTGCCCATATGGGATGCCGGCACCGCAGGCGGAGGATTAACAAAGTGAGCCGAGGCGCCGGCCCCGACGCTTGGTTTTATTTAAGACAAATACAGCCGCTACTTAACGCGGAATGCAACGAAGCTAAATGAGTGTTTGTTCCTCACCCTAAAGGGCCCTAAAGGACTGCGCTTACCCTGATTGCAGGGATTTTGTCACAGTCAGAGCCCTGTGGGTTCATAAGCAGGGCACTGGGCTGGGTATCTTGGGACTGTGTGCCTTCTCCCATCTGCCCTCCGTTTTCTTTGGTAGTCAACACTTTAAAATCTCCCTACTCTTAACACATATCTTTTCCTGATTGCTAAGAGGGTAACTGTTCTTTCTCTGTCCTGGTACAATTTGCACTGCTGAGACACATTGCCTGGAGGGCCAAGAAAGTCTGCTGTGGAGTCAGCTGGCCTTTTGGATGACTCCCAGATCCCCGTGGCTGTTGTGGCCACCTTGGTTCGGCAGCCACTGGGAGGACCAGAAAGGAGACATCTGACGCCTGCTGGGATTTCACAAACTGCTTCTTCATGGATGTCTGCATTGCCCTTGCCTGAAACCAGTGCTACTTTCTTCGATTTTAATTTTTGGCACGGTTCTCTGGGCAGCGTTCCACTAGTGCACCCCATCTTCTGTGTCTTTCATAGACATGGTGTTTGGGGGAGGGGAGGTGAGGGAGTGAACTGGTCCTCATGTTTCCTAATCACTTTCTCAATTTTTGATCATTTTTTGTTTCGGTTGCCTAACAGTCACCAAATTGTGGGTATGGGAGTGATATTTTCAGTCCACGCTCGGGAGGGCAGAGGTTTGATTGATCTGTTAGGACTGAATGGTAACAGTCATGGTCACATGCAGGCTTCATTTCAGTGTCAAAAAGGCTTTTTGAAAAGCCACCTTGTGAGGCTGGCGCCGTGGCTCACTAGGCTAATCCTCCGCCTAGCGGCGCCGGCACACCAGGTTCTAGTCCCGGTTGGGGCGCCGGAATCTGTCCCGGTTGCCCCTCTTCCAGGCCAGCTCTCTGCTGTGGCCAGGGAGTGCAGTGGAGGATGGCCCAAGTGCTTGGGCCCTGCACCCCAATGGGAGACCGGGATAAGTACCTGGCTCCTGGCTTCAGATCAGCGCGGTGCGCCGGCCGCAGCGTGCCAGCCACAGTGGACATTGGAGGGTGAACCAATGGCAAAGGAAGACCTTTCTCTCTGTCTCTTTTTCTCACTGTCCACTCTGCCTGTCAAAAAAAAAATCAAATTAAAGAAAAGAGGCTCACTCCCCAAATGGCCGAAACGGCTGGAGCTGGGCTGATCCAAAGCCAGGAGATTCTTCCAGGTCTCTCTCATGCGGGTCCAGGGGCCCAAGCTCCTGGGCCATCTTCCATTGCTTTCCCAGGCCATAACAGAGAGCTGGATCAGAAGTGGAGCAGCTGGGACTCGAACCAGTGCCCATATGGGATGCCAGCATCTCAGGTGGTGGCTTTACCCACTACGCCACTGTGCCGGCCCCTTACTGCGTATATTTTAAACACATATTTCTACAGGTGTGTAGGGAGAACACTTAGCAAGACAGAAAGAGATGCTTTTCTGTTGCTTTCTTTCCTCCTCTCATCTCTAAGATCATTGCTGTCTGGGATTTTATGTATAGGTTGTTGCCTTTTTTGAAGCTTTCATTTCGTATGACCTCATCTTGGGTTGAGTTTTCTTTCTGCAAGAGTGTATTTTCTACTATTTTTTTTTTTCAGAGAAAATTAAAAAGAAATCTCCAAGTTTTTGCCTGGTTGGCTGCATTTTTTCTTCTTCTTGCTGGAATCGGCTGAGTTAAAAATCCTAGGCTGGAAATTCTTCAGGCTTTGTATCCATTGTGCTGTTCTGTGCTGAGCGTCCCTGAGCCGGGGTCAGAGGCCAGCCCGTGGCTTGTGTCTTGCTGAGCAACCGTGGCTTTGCTTTTTCCTCTAGAAACTTTGAGGATTTTCTCCTTATCCGTGTTATTGCTCAGGGTCACCACCTTGAAGCATGCTGTGGGCTGAGTTGGTTTGAAATTCTGTTTGGCAAGAGAGGAAACCATTCAGCAGGAGGGTTTGGGTCTTCGTTCTGAACAAACATTCTAAATTTTGGCTCTGTGCTGTTTTCCCACTTAGCTTCCCATTCAGGAATTCTCATGGGATGGATGTTTCTATTTCTGGCTCCACCATCCATCCCCACACCTTCTTCTTCTTCTTCTTCTTTTTTTTTTTTAAGATATTATTTATTTATTTGAGAAGCAGAGCTCTAGACAATGAGAGGGAGAGACAGAGACAGAGGTCTTCTATCTGCTGGCTCACTCCCTAAATGGCTGCAATGGTTGGAGCTGTGCTGATCTGAAGCCAGGAGCCAGGAGCTTCTTCCGGGTCTCCCATGAGGGTGCAGGGACCCAAGAACTTGGGCCATCTTCTACTGCTTTCCCAGGCCATAGCAGAGAGCTGGATGAGAAGTGGAGCAGTCGGGACTCGAACCAGTGCCCATGTGGGATGCCAGGGCTGCAGGCAGAGGATTAACCCACTGTGCCATAGCTCCGGGCCCCTCCCTTGCCTTCTTTTCATATGTTCATTCATGTGTCCTTTCATGCTGCATCATGGACAGTGGCTTTCCTCATCCTTTTGTCTGTCAAGATTTTCTCCAGTTACTGAGTGTTTTCAACCAGTGATTTTTAATTTTACACTCTCTAGTGATCCATTTTTAAAAAAAAGATTTATTTTTTAAGTTATTTGAAAGGCAGAGTGACACAGAAAGAGAGAGAGAGTGAGAAAGAGAGAGAGAGAGAGAGAGAGAACGCTTCCATCCGCTGGTTCTCTCCCCAAAAGGCCACAAAGGCCAATGCAGGGCCAGGGCCAGGAGCCAGAAACTCCATCTGAGCCTCCCGTGTGAACGGCAGGGGTCCAAGCACTTGGGCCATCTTCAGCTGCTTTAGCAGGCGCATTAACAGTGAGCTGGATCGGATGCAGAGCGGCCAGTATTCAAATTGGTGCAGGTGTCGCAGGCAGCAGTTTAACCTACTGCGCGGCACCATTGGCCCCTAGCATTCCTCTTTATTGACTGAGCTCAGCTCTTTCCTGTATAAGGGTTCACTGTATGTTTTTGGGGTCACC